GGCAACCTGTGCCGGTGCCTCACCGCCCTCTGCATGAAAAACTTCCTCCTCATATCCAACACAAACCTCCCCTGTCTCACTTTAAAGCCATTCCCCTCATCCCATCACCATCCACCCTCACACACAGCTGTTTCCCCTCCTGTTTATCAGCTCCCTTCAAGCACTGAAGGCCACCATAAGGTCTCCCTGAATCCTTCTCTTCTCCAAGCCAAACAATCCCAGTTCCCTCAACCTCTCCTCACACAGAGCTGCTCCAGCCCTCTGATCGTCTTATTGCCCTCCTCTGGACCCGCTCCCAGAGCTCCACATCCTTCCTGTGCTGGGTTCCCCAGGCCTGGACACAGCACTGCAGATGGGGCCTCACAAGAGCCGAGCAGAGGGGGACGATCACCTCCCTGTCCCTGCTGGCCGCCCCTTTTTTAATGCAGCCCGGATCACAGCTGGGTAGAAGCACACGTGGGGCTCTGCACAGCCAGTGCGCGTTCCTGTCAGCACAGATTTAAGGGTAATAAATGCATTTCTGCAAACAGCTTCCAGGAGGAGAGCGTCGCGCTTTGCCTACGGTCCCTTTTGCGTGTCTGCGATGGTAAGGGAGGGCTGGGAGGAAGGAGGAGGGCATGGATTATTTACTACAACCCAGCAGCGCACGGAAGAGTGGCTCACACCAGGCAGGGACAGCCCGGATGATTCAGCCCCAAATTGTTCTGTTTGTACGTTGGGGAAGGAAGGAGCGCCCACGTGGAGTGTGAGCAGCATCAGGGCCGTGCAAGCAGAGCACAGGTAAGGCTGCTGGCTGTGTGTGCCGGCGCAGGGCAGCTGCTGCACCCTGCATGGCTCTGCACACGATGCTTCCCTGGTTAGAAACCAGCACACGTGAAATTAGCAGGAGATGAGGCACAACAAAGAGGTTTTGTTGCTGGCTGTTCGTGTTTTCAACGGAGGTGACACAATGTATTGAGAGCGGCCGAGTGCGTGAGCTTCCAGCTGTTCTTAATTACAGGTAGAAGTTAATGCTAATTATTAAGAAGGGAATGTGTCAGATCCATGGGAAGCAGCCGCGGCGTCAGAACGAGGGGGGTGTGAATGGCCGGATATCGTGAGTGCAGCGTGGGAATGGGAAGCAGAAGGAAGCAGGGACAGAGGCTGCAGATATTGCACGTGCTTCCTTGGAGGCTGCAGAACTGCAGAGCGGCTCTGAGGAGCATCTCTTACAGTACTGCTGAGCTGAATCACAGAGACGGGTGAGAGATGGACCTCATGGGCGCTGCCCCTTCCCACGAGCGTGGAGCAGAGCTGGGGCTCAGCGTGGGGGGAGGATGCAGTCCTAACCCTAACCCTAACCCTAACCCTAACCCTAACCCTAATGCAGTCCTAACCCTAACCCTAACCTTACCCTAACCCTAACCCTAACCCTAATGCAGTCCTAACCCTAACCCTAACCTTACCCTAACCCTAACCCTAACCCTAACCCTAATCTTAACCCTAACCCTAACCCTAACCCCAACCCTAACCCTAACCCTAACCCTAACCCTAACCCTAGTCCTAACCCTAACCCTAGTCCTAACCCTAACCCTAACCCTAACCCTAACCCTAACCCTTACCCTAACCCTAACCCTAACCCTAACCCTTACCCTAACCCTAACCCTAACCCTAACCCATACCCTAACCCTAACCCTAACCCTAACCCCAACCCTAACCCTAACCCTAACTCTAACCCTAGTCCTAACCCTAACCCTAACCCTAACCCTAACCCTAACCCTTACCCTAACCCTAACCCTTACCCTAACCCTAACCCTAACCCTAACCCTTACCCCAACCCTAACCCTAACCCTAACCCTAACCCCAACCCTAACCCTAACCCTAACCCTAGTCCTAACCCTAACCCTAACCCTAACCCTAACCCTAACCCTAACCCTAACCCTAACCCTAACCCTAACCCCAACCCTAACCCTAACCCTAACCCTTACCCTAACCCTAACCCCAACCCTAACCCTAACCCTAACCCTAGTCCTAACCCTAACCCTAACCCTAACCCCAACCCTAACCCTAACCCTAACCCCAACCCCAACCCTAACCCTAACCCTAACCCCAACCCCAACCCCAACCCTAACCCCAAACCTAACCCTAACCCTAACCCCAACCCTAACCCTAACCCTACCCTAACCCTAACCCTAACCCCAACCCTTACCCTAACCCTAACCCTAACCCTAACCCCAACCGTAACCCCAACCCCAACCCTAACCCTAACCCTAACCCCAACCCCAACCCCAACCCCAAACCTAACCCTAACCCTAACCCCAACCCTAACCCTAACCCTACCCTAACCCTAACCCTAACCCTAACCCTAACCCTAACCCTAACCCTAACCCTAACCCTAACCCCAACCCTAACCTCAACTCTAACCCTAACCCTAACCCCAACCCTAACCCCAACCCTAACCCAACTCTAACCCTAACCCCAACCCTAACCCCAACACCAACCCCAACACCAACCCTAACCCTAACCCCAAACCTAACCCTAACCCTAACCCTAACCCTAACCCTACCCTAACCCTACCCTAACCCTACCCTAACCCTAACCCAAACCCAAACCCTAACCCTAACCCTAACCCTAACCCAAACCCAAACCCTAACCCTAACCCTAACCCTAACCCCAACCCTAACCCTAACCCTTACCCAAATCCTAACCCCAACCCCAACCCCAACCCCAACCCTAACCCTGATGGGGGCACAGACCCACTGCCTCACATTGAGCATCAGTGGCACCGCAACCCAGGGCTGATTCATGAGAGCACTTCAGCCTGGCAGCCACAGGCACAGACAGAAAAGCATCATTCATCCTTCCTCTCATCCTGCGGCTGATAAGTCGTTCATTCAGAAGGCAGAAGCTCTTAATTAAGCTGGCAATGGGCGTCTCAGTCAGTAGTGATTACACAGCTTGTGCTGAGCGTGGAGCAGCTGCGGTGGCAGTGGGTCTGGGTGTGATGAGGGCAGCTCTTAGAATCCTGGAATCCTCTGGGTTGGAAAAAAACTTCAAGATAAGTGAGGCCAACCATCGCAGAATCATGGAATCACAGAATAGTTTGGGTTGGAAGGGACCTCAAGGATCACAAAGCTCCAACCCCCCACCAATGCAGGGCCACCAATGTTTGCATCTCACAGCAGCCCAGGCTGCCCAGGGCCCCATCCAACCTCCAACACCTCCAGGGATGGACGGGGCATCACAGCCTCTCTGGGCAGCTGTTGCAGCCCCTGTGATTCTATGATTCTATGAACCCTTAAGGCTGGGAGGGACCCATAGCCATACATAGAACTTCAGTGGACCGAGGTTTAGGAGTGCTTTTGCCTTTAGCCTGCCCAAGTGAGGGTCCACTGCCCCTCATTTGGACACAGTTTGGTTGCACGGAGGATGTCTGTGTTGTCAGTACCTCCATTTCCTTCTGCTCGCTCTGCCTGCAGCGTTTGCACTGTGCCTGCAGTTCGGTGCCCTTAAACACTCTCCATCTGTCTCCTTGCCAAGCTGGGTTCAATCCACAGCGTAGAATTCGGATTTTCTGGGACTTGTGTTTATTATTTACAGCAAGATGCGTTGTTCTTTCCTGAATGCATATTGGGTGAGACACAGACACAACGTTCTTCCTTCTCCTTCTGCTCAAGCTGAGGGGGATTCCAGGTCTCCCTGTTCCTTCTCAGCGTGTGCTGCAGCCCGGTGGTGGCAGCACCCCTCACTCTCACACCCTCTGCTCATCCCTGCTTTCCCCTCGGATGGCACAGAGCACAGATTGCAGAGCTGCAGCCCGTCCCTAGCTCTGCTGCATGCTCTGCTCCGCTGGCAGCGCTGAACAGCAGCATTCCCTGGCTGACATCTGTAACTCGTCTGCCTCCTCTTGTAGCCGTTTTCCTGCAGCACTCTGCAGGCTGGGCCAGTCGCTCTCACACCAAGGGCTGGAGGGGCTGATTGAGGGTGCATCCACGGGAGGAGCTGCTTGCACCCATCTGCTGCGCTGCCCTTCTGAGGGTAAGAATCCGGCACCGGCAGCTTCCTCCTGCCAGCTGATGCTGCAGAGCCTCGTCCCTCTGTCGTGCCGTGGTTTCCTCTTTTCCTCCACTCGAGCACTTTTAGGGCGCTGCGGCGCTGGCTCTGCTGCCCAGAGCTGTGGGTGCCCCATCCCTGGAGGTGCCCCAGGCTGTGGATGAGCCCTGGGCAGCCCAAGCTGAGGGGGCACCCAGCCCATGGCAGGGGTGGAACTGAACGATTATTTAAGGTCCTTTCTAACCCAACCATTCTGGGGTTTGGTGATTCTATGATTTTCAGGGCTTCGGTGTTTTCTTGGTTAGCACTGATAGCTTAAAGTCCATCCAAAGCGTATCATAAACTTCTCATTCACTCAGTGACCTCTTCTTTTCACTGTAGAATCGCAGAGCGGGTGGAAATTTGCTCTGACATCCCCAATCCAACCCCAATCCGTCCCACTGCCCACATCCCCCCAGTGCCACATCCCTGTGCTCATCAAACACCCCCAGGGATGGGGGCTCCCCGCTGCCCTGGGCAGCTGTGCAGTGCTGGCCGCTCTTTGCAGCACAGGTTGTTCCCAATTCCATCCCTACCCTCCCCATTGCACCCTGAGCCCATCCCCTCCCGTCCTATTGCTGCTTATCTCCCCACATGATACCCATTGGTGTGTGGAAATCCAATGCATCCAGCCCTGCAAATGCCCTGTGCAAACTCTCTGCATTTCAGTTGGGAAGGTGCTGCTCTTCACTGCGAGGCTTTCTCACCTTCTGTGCTATCTGGTCTTCAGAGCTTTTCAGGATCTCAGCCCACGTTTCATCTAGGAATGAATAGCATTGGCTTTGGGTGTGGAAATGGTGTCTGAAATGCTTGCGACCATTGCTGGATGGGATCTGATCCCAAACATCACAGCCTGAACGTGATCTCGAGCATCACAACCTGAATGTGATCCCGAATATTCCATCCTGAATGGGATCCTAAATGGCACAACCTGAACGTGATCCCAAATATTGCATCCTGAATGGGATCCCAAATGGCAGCAACCTGAATGTGATTCCAAAGCATCACAGCCTGAATGGGATCCCAAATGGCACAACCTGAATGTGGTCCCAAATATTCCATCCTGAATGTGATCCCAAATGGCACAACCTGAATGTGATCCCAAATATTGCATCCTGAATGGGATCCTAAATGGCACAAGCTGAATGTGATCCCAAATATTGCATCCTGAATGGGATCCTAAATGGCACAACCTGAACGTGATCCCAAATATTGCATCCTGAATGTGATCCCAAATATTGCATCCTGAATGTGATGCTAAATGGCACAACCTGAATGTGATCCCAAATATTCCATCCTGAATGTGATCCTAAATGGCACAACCTGAATGAGATCCCAAATGGCACAGCCTGAATGTGATCCCAAATATTCCATCCTGAATGGGATCCTAAATGGCACAACCTGAATGTGATCCCAAATATTGCATCCTGAATGGGATCCCAAATATTCCATCCTGAATGTGATCCCAAATATTCCATCCTGAATGTGATCCCAAATGGCACAACCTGAATGTGATCCCAAATATTGCATCCTGAATGGGATCCCAAATGGCACAACCTGAATGTGATCCCAAATATTCCATCCTGAATGGGATCCTAAATGGCACAACCTGAACGTGATCCCAAATATTGCATCCTGAATGTGATCCCAAATGGCACAACCTGAATGTGATCCCAAATATTGCATCCTGAATGGGATCCTAAATGGCACAACCTGAATGTGATCCCAAATATTCCATCCTGAATGGGATCCTAAATGGCACAACCTGAATGTGATCCCAAATATTGCATCCTGAATGTGATCCCAAATGGCACAACCTGAATGTGATCCCAAATATTCCATCCTGAATGGGATCCTAAATGGCACAACCTGAACGTGATCCCAAATATTGCATCCTGAATGTGATCCCAAATGGCACAACCTGAATGTGATCCCAAATATTGCATCCTGAATGGGATCCTAAATGGCACAACCTGAATGTGATCCCAAATATTCCATCCTGAATGGGATCCTAAATGGCACAACCTGAATGTGATCCCAAATATTGCATCCTGAATGTGATCCCAAATGGCACAACCTGAATGTGATCCCAAATATTCCATCCTGAATGTGATCCCAAATGGCACAACCTGAATGTGATCCCAAATATTCCATCCTGAATGTGATCCCAAATATTCCATCCTGAATGTGATCCCAAATATTGCATCCTGAATGTGATCCTAAATGGCACAACCTCAATCTGATCCCAAATATTCCATCCTGAATGTGATCCCAAATGGCACAACCTGAATGTGATCCCAAATATTCCATCCTGAATGTGATCCCAAATGGCACAACCTGAATGTGATCCCAAATATTCCATCCTGAATGTGATCCCAAATATTGCATCCTGACCGTGATCCCAAACAACGCATCCTTCCTTGGATTCTGGGGAGCTTTGGGAGGTTCTGTGTGTGTACGCGTGGCTGGAAGGTGGCTCCTTCTGGGGGCAGAGTTGCTCCTCGTGTGCCACTTTGCTTTTGACGTCGTTCACCATCAGTGCCTTGACGAGCTGCCTCCTCCCTGAATTAAACTGAAAGCGCTGCTGATGATAATCAGGGCCTGGGGATGAGCTGTGAGCACAAACAGGCTCCTCTTCAGCCCCTTCCCCTCCTCCTGCTCTCCTCTGCTTCCATTGCAGGAGCACCACTGTGACAGCACTTGCAGAGGTGTCTGCTCAGTCTCTGTGGATCCCCAGGTGGATTATTTCTCCTTTTGGGACGGGGCTTTTCCCAGTTTCACTGACAGGGAACCCCTGGCTGCCCGGCTCTTGGAGCCTTCAGTAGGGATGAGCCTCTCAGAGCCTCAGCAGGGATGATGCAGCGGATCCCAGACCCCTGGGGCGCACACAGCACACGCTCACGGCTGGCAGAAGCTGAAGTATTTGATGCACGAGTCCAAGGGTGACTGCAGATCTCTTTTCCTAAAGCTTCGCCTGCTGGGGGCTGAGTGGGCAGGGATGGAAGCCTCGTGCTGCCCCATGGACGCCCTCACTGCTCTGCAGGACAGGTTTGATGGGGACCCATTTGTGCTCTCCCAGCCATCCCAGCTGCGATGCAAAGCTGGCCCTGATCAGAGGCAGCTTCTGGAGTGCAGATTGGGAACACAGCTGCTCTGCGTTCTGGTCTTGGTTTTCTGGGGCAGAGAGGAAAGCTTGTTGATAAGGACCTGCACTGACGCACTGTGCAGCAGGGAATTGGCAGCTTTATACCATTCTGTCACTGCTGTGGGTCTTGCAGCACCCCGGGATGTGAGTGAGCTTTACTGGGAAAGGCCCATCCTCCCATCTTCCAGCTCCACCTCACACACCTGAACTCAGGTTGTTCTCCAGCAGAGTCCATCACCAAGATGCCCGGGAGCAACCTGGCACCATCAGCAGCCCTTCCTGTGCTTCGTTACTGCTGGGAAGTTGTGGCACCTTGCAAGCATTTCTAACTGGGAACGAGCAAATGAGTGCATAGGAACAGCCGTGCCCTCAGCTGTGTTTGCTGGGCCCTTACAATCGTGGGATGGTGAGGGTTGGACAAGAGCTGTAGGGTCATCAGGTCCAGCCATCAATCCAGTGTGAGCGCACCCCAACCGCAGCCACACGTTGGGATGGGACTCAGTGCCTCCTGGGCAGCTCCCTCCAGCACTTGCAGCTGATGTTATCTCAAACCTCCCCTGGCACAACCTGAGGCCATTTCCTCTCATCCCGTCGCTTGGGAGAAGAGAGAAGAGCCCGATTTCATAGAATCATAGATAGAATCACCAAGGTTGGAAAAGACCTCAAAGCTCATCCGGTCCAACCGTTCCCCCATCCCCAACAGCTCCCACTGAACCACGTCCCTCAACACAGCATCCAGCCTTTCCTTGGACACCCCCAGGCTCGGTGACTCCACCACCTCTCTGTTCATCCATTGCAGTGCCTGAAACCACACCGCATCCCCCCTGAGGTCACTGCGGTGCAAACACGCGGCCTCCTGACCTCCCATGCGTCCTCCTGGGGCTCTGCTGCTGCCCCGCTTCCCCCTCAGCTGTGCAGCATCTCCTCCTCCTCCTCCCAGAGGACGTGACTCACATGCAGGCTGTGACTGTTGGCCTGTGGGCTCCAGGCTGTTCCCTGGGAGCAGTGCAGATGTGTGCAGTCCCGGATCCAGCGGCGCCGTTCACCTGACAAAATGTGGGCGTTCGTTTCAGCGTGGGGTGAATCAGCCCCATTGACTTCACCCAGGAGCTCCGTTGAGTCTGAAAACAGCCCAGCACCTATAGGTGCTGCTTTCTGCAGCCCACGTCCGACTGCGTGGCTCCCATCCTGCGGTGCAGGGAGAGGAAGAAAGGTTCAATAGGGACTCGGCTGCGTTTCTGCTCATTCCTCTCCCTGCAGCACTGCTGCTCAGAGCCCAGGGGCTGCCTGTGCCTTCTGCTGGCCGTCCTGCCAGCCCTTCTCCATCCCTGCTCTCCCCACCCTCTGCCTTTTTCCTCCTGGATTTTTCAGGCCAGCACCAGAAAGCCCAGATGCGCTCTTGCGACGCGTGGATGTGGCAATGGGGACGTGGTTACCGGGCACGGTGGGGATGGCCTGGGGTTGGATTTGAGTCCTTTTCCACCTGGATGGTTCTGTGATTCTGTGGCTGCATTGAGCCCGGCCCAGGATGGACCCCCTTTCATCCCACTCTACGCACCCACCTGACAGTGAGAAATGGGCCAGGCCAGCTCTTCTCTCACCTCGAGCCCTTGTGCACCCCTTGCTTTTAGTGAGCAAATCCTGTGAGAGCGATCAGGAAGCTGAGCTGAGTCAGGGTCTGCATCGCAGAACTGCCTTCCTGCCTTCAGGAGACCCGTTGTGTCCCAGCAGCAATCAGGTTCAGCACAAGTAGTTCTCACAAATCACAGAACCACAGAATGGCCTGGGTTGGAAAGGATCACAACGCTCATCTGGTTCCAACCCCCTGCAGGGTCGCCAGGAGGCAAACAGGGACACACAGATCCCCACAGAGACCCCTTTACAGACCCTTCCAACCCGATCAGTCCATGGTTCTGTCATCTTTCAGGACCCTTCCAACCCAACCCAACCATTCCATGGTTCTCTCATCTTTCAGGACCCTTCCAACCCAACCCAACCATTCTGTGGTTCTCTCTTCTTTCAGGACCCTTCCAACTCAACTGTTCTGTGATTCTGTCATCCTTAAGGACCTTCCAACCCAACCATTCCGTGGCTCTGTCATCTTTCAGGACCCTTCCAACCCAACCATTCCATGGCTCTATGATCTTTCAGGACCCTTCCAACCCAGCCATTCTGTGGTTCTCTCATCTTTCAGGACCCTTCCAACCCAACCCAACCATTCTGTGGTTATGTCATCTTTCAGGACCCTTCCAACCCAACCCAACCATTCCGTGGTTCTGTCATCTTTCAGGACCCTTCCAACCCAACCACTCCGTGGTTCTCTCATCTTTCAGGACCCTTCCAACCCAACCCAACCATTCCATGCTTCTGTCATCTTTATGGACCCTTCCAACCCAACCACTCCGTGGTTCTCTCATCTTTCAGTACCCTTCCAACCCAACCCAACCATTCTGTGGTTCTCTCATCTTTCAGGACCCTTCCAACCCAGCCATTCTGTGGTTCTGTCATCTTTAAGGACCCTTCCAGCCCAACCATTCCATGGTTCTGCAACGTTTAGGACCCTTCCAGCCCTCAGACATTCTGTCATTCTATGGACTCTGAGGATCCATCGAAGCCATCCCACGTTGTGTTTTTATGATTCTATGGCACACGGCTCAGGATGTGAGACTTCTGGCTGCCGTTTCCAGCCTCATGCTGCTGCTGTGGCCTCTGCTGGGAGCAGCTGTTAGCAATCCATTCCCAGTGGGACTTCCACAGCTCAGAAGAAAGGAGAGCTTTACACGTGTTGGGGAGCAGGTGTGGAAGGACAGGCAGTGTGTTGGAAACATGGCACAGAGAGGGGCTGTGTGACAGCCATTGGCCCCTGAAGCAGATTGCGTGGTTCTGTTGGGATTCATCCACACCTGGAGCGTTGTTGCATGAGGTTGTGTGACCAGTTTTCTAGATAGCCTTGATCTTTTTTTAAATGCAGAATGCCTAAAATGTCTGGAATTATTGTGCAAAGTGAAATAGCTGGGAAGTGCAAGGAGTTCCATCCCGTGTCTTGCATTCGTTTTAGTGGCAGCACTGTCCTGAGTCCTCAGAGCAACACACAGCTGCCTGCATTGGTGCACCTGCATCAGAGCACCCAGAGCAGCCCTGCAAGAAGGACCTGGGGGTCCTGATGGATGAAAAACGGACCATGAGCCAGCAGTGTGTGATTACAGCTCAGAAAGCAAATGGGATCCTGGGCTCCATCAGCAGAGGGGTGGCAGCAGGGACAGGGAGGTGATTGTCCCCCTCTGCTTTGCCCTCGTGAGGCTCCATCTGCAGCACTGCGTCCAGGGCTGGGGGTCCAAATACAAGACAGACAGGGAGCTGTTGGAGAGGGTGCAGAGCAGCCACAAAGATGAGCAGGGGGCTGCAGCACCGCCCTGCAAAGCCAGGCTGAGGGAGCTGGGCTGTCAGCATGGAGAAGAGAAGCTGGGGGTGAGCTGAGTGCAGCTGCAGGAGCTGAAGGGAGCCTGCAGACAGGAGGGGAGTCAACTCCTGGCAAGGGGAGATGGCAGCAGGACGAGGGGAAACGGCTGGAAGCTGAGGGAGGGCAGCTGGAGGTTGGATGTCAGGGGGAAGTTGTGTGCTGTGAGAGCGGGGAGGGGCTGGAACAGCTGCCCAGAGAGGCTGTGATGCCCCGTCCATCCCTGGAGGTGTTGGAGGCCAGGTTGGATGGGGCCCTGGGCAGCCTGGTTTAGCATTAAACGTGGAGGTTGGTGGCCCTGCATTGGTGAGGGGTTGGAGCTTCGTGATCCTTGAGCTCTCTTCCAACCCAAACCATTCTGTGACTCTGTGATTCTCTCTGGAGCAGACGGAGATGGAGCTGGGTCCTGCAGTGTTCATGGCAGCACCCCAGGGCTCTGCCCAAAGGGCCGTGATTCCCCGGAGCAACCTCTGCTCAGGGCACCAGCAGCGGGGGGCTGCAGTGAGCCCACAGCACGCAGCAGGGCTGCAGGGAGCAGACTGTGTGTGGGCTGGGGGCTGGCGTGGGTCGGGGCTGGGAGCAGAGAGGTGGCGCATGTGTGTGCAGTCGGGGCTGGCGCCTGCTGAGTGGATGGAGGCTGACGCACACGTGTGTGGATCAGGGCTTGCACATGTGTGTGGGTCAGGTGCTGACACGTGTGTGCAGCTCAGAGACGTGGCACATGTGTGTGGGTCGGAGCTGGCACACACACACACACACACACGGGGCCAGGCTTGCAGTATGCGGGGAGGGGGCTGCAGGGCTGCATTCCCCCCTGTTCCCACCCCCCACACACACACGGGGGGGGCAAGGCATGGGATGACCCCTCCCCCCCCCCCCCCCCCATCACCGAGTCTTTCCGTTAGGTTCACAGAAAGCGCCTTTGTGAAAATAGGACAATGCATCGCCCCCCCCCTTTTCCCTCCCTCCCCCCCCCCCCCTCCCAATGACAGACGGTTCCTTAGCAACGCCGGGGGGGCTCTAAGGGAAGATGGGAGCACCGGGATGAGGATATAAACTCCGCCGCTCCCCCTCCCGGAGCTCACCGAGGGCCCCCCTCCCTTTGTCTCACATCCCGGCTCTCCGCACGGAGCATCGCCCACGCCCCCCCTCCCTCCCCCCAGCCCCCCCCCCCCCCCAAACCCACCCACCCTTCCACCGAGCACCGCGCTCCCCATCTCCCGGCCGAGGGCACCGGTGGAGGGTTGGGGGGGGGGTGGGGGGGACCGCAGCCCCCCGCATGCGCCCGCAGGTGACCGCGGGGAGCCCGGAGCCCCCCGCCCGCCGCCGCCGTTGTGCTCCGACTGCGGGAAAGGGAGGGAGGGAGCGGCCGCTGCCCCGCTCCGCTGCGATGAGACGCTCCGTGGGAAGAGGAGGGCTCCCCGCAGCCGGCACGAAGCCCCCCGGCGCCCGGCAGCATGGTGCTGAGATCTAACCCCAGCGTCATTCTCTTGTGCTCTTTCCTGCCCAGCGACTACATCATCGAGGAGAAAACGGCCGTGCTGCAGAAGAGGGAGCATGAGGGATTCGGGTTTGTGTTGCGCGGGGCCAAAGGTAAGGAGGGGGCTGCGGGGCTGCCGGGTTGCGGGGTCGGGGGAGGGGGGGGGGGGGGGTTGGAGGGGGGGGGGGGCGGCCGTGGGGCAGCGCTGCGTGACGCGTGGGGCTGCGCTCGGGGGCTGTGAGCGCTCCGCTGCCCGCACGGTGCGGTCGCTGCGGCCCCGTACCGTTACACGAGGGCTCCCCGCTGCCCGTCGTGTTCGGGGTGCAGCCGCCGTGGCTTTTTGCGGTCGTTTGTTTTTTGGGGCTTTTCTTTTTTTTAATGCGTGAAGTTTGGCGCTGTTCCGTGCGGTGGGGATCCCTCCTGGGGGGGGGGGGGGGAGGTGGAGGGGATAAAGGTGGGGGTTTTGAGCCCCGGCGCTGCTCGGAGGGAGGGGGGGGGGGGGGTGATGCGCGGCCCCCGCAGAGCCGCTCGTTGCCGCGGTGGCTCCCGATGCGCGGAGAGGTTTTGGCTACGATCGAAGGAATCCCTCCGGGTGCGAAGGGAACGTGCGCCGTCGGGCGATGCGCTCAGCCCTGCAGCGAGGGGCGGCTCCCCTCCGGCTGAAGGCTCGGGAAAGGCCGGGGGGCTGCGAGGTACGGAACGGCGGGGCGGGCTGCGGCAGCCGCGCTGCGGGGCGAGGGGGGAGAAAGGAGAAAGCGGCCCCCGGGGGCTGAGAGCTGCGCCCGGGTGGCAGCCGAGGCTCCGGAGCTGCTTTTGTGCCGCCGAGCACCGAGGCGAACCTGCGGGCGGGCGGGCGGGCAGGGCTCCTCACTGCGCAGCGCCCGACCGTGTGTGTGTGTGACATGTGTGTGTGTGTGTGACATGTGTGTGTGTGTGACACGTGTGTGTGTGTGACACGTGTGTGTGTGATATACGTGTGTGTGTGTGATACATGTGTGTGTGATACATGTGTGTGTGTGTGTGACACGTGTGTGTGTGACACGTGTGTGTGTGATACATGTGTGTGTGTGTGATACATGTGTGTGTGATACATGCGTGTGTGTGACACGTGTGTGTGTGATACATGTGTGTGTGTGTGATACATGTGTGTGTGATACATGCGTGTGTGTGACATGTGTGTGTGTGACACGTGTGTGTGTGATACATGTGTGTGTGATACATGTGTGTGTGTGTGTGATACATGTGTGTGTGATATGTGTGTGTGTGACACGTGTGTGTGTGTGATACATGTGTGTGTGTGATACATGTGTGTGTGACACGTGTGTGTGTGTGTGATACGTGTGTGTGTGTGATACATGTGTGTGTGACATGTGTGTGTGTGTGTGACACGTGTGTGTGTGACACGTGTGTGTGTGATACATGTGTCTGTGTGACACGTGTGTGTGATATATGTGTGTGTGACACGTGTGTGTGTGTGACGTGTGTGTGATATATGTGTGTGATATATGTGTGTGTGACATGTGTGTGTGATATATGTGTGTGTGATATATGTGTGTGTGTGATACACGTGTGTGTGTGTGACGTGTGTGTGATATATGTGTATTATATATGTGTGTGTGACACATGTGTGTGTGATACATGTGTGTGTGTGATATGTGTGTGTGTGATATGTGTGTGTGTGACACGTGTGTGTGTGTGACACGTGTGTGCGTGTGTGACGTGTGTGTGATATATTGTGTGTGATATATGTGTGTGTGACATGTGTGTGTGATATATGTGTGTGTGTGACACGTGTGTGTGTGACACATGTGTGTGTGATACATGTGTGTGTGATATATGTGTGTGTGACATGTGTGTGTGTGACATGTGTGTGTGTGTGACACGTGTGTGTGTGTGATACATGTGTGTATGTGACACGTGTGTGTGTGACATGTGTGTGTGTGACATACATGTCTGTGACGTGTGTGTGATGTATGTGTGACATACATGTGTTTATGACATGTGTGTGTGTGACATATGTGTGTGTGACATGTGCGTGTGCCATGCATGTGTGTGTGACGTGTGTGTGTGTGACATACATGTGTGACATATGTGTGTGGCATGTGTGTGACATAGGTATGTATGACATGTGTGTGTATGACATACGTATGTGTGACATACATGTGTGTGACGTGTGTGTGTGTGTGTGCCATACATGTGTGTGAGTGCCATATGTGTGTCTGTGCCATACGTGTGTGTGCCATACATGCATGTGCCAGATGTGTGTGTGCCATACATGTGTGTGTGCCATATGTGTGTCTGTGCCATTTGCGTGTGTTGCTATACATGTGTGAGCCATACGTGTTTGTGTGAGCCATACGTGTGTGTGTGAGCCATACGTGTGTGTGTGTGCCATACGTGTGTGTGTGTGCCATACGTGTGTGTGTGTGTGCCATGCAGTGTGTGTGCCATATGTGTGTGTGTGTGCCATGCAGTGTGTGTGTGTGCCATGCAGTGCGTGTGTGTGCCATACATGTGTGTGTGTGTGCCATACAGTGTGTGTGTGCCATACATGTGTGTGTGCCATACGTGTGTGTGTGTGACCATACATGTGTGTGTGTGCCATACAGTGTGTGTGCCAGCTGTGCCCACGTGCTGCCCTCACCACCCAGTGCATCGCAGCGTGAAACTTCAGCCCTCAAAATGGCATCCGTTCCTTTGCTGGATCAGACTGGCAGCAGTGAGGTTGGGGCAGACGTGGGGTAAATTTCCTCCTGTTTCTGTTTGTTTTATTTTCTCAGGCTCTGTGTCTTCCCTTTGTGTGCCAGGGCCAGAGGGGAGGGCAGGGGACAGGATGGGCAGTGCTGGAGAGTTCACAGTGGGACTGAGAGGGGTCACCCACGTCCCCAACCCTTTGGGTTTATGACACAACATGAGAGCCTCTGTCCCAGCCCCGTGTCACTGCTGCTCACACCTGGTTTGGGTAACAAAGCTGTGATGTCTCTCGATGATGAGAGAAGGGAGGGAGCGAAGGCAGCGGAGCCTCTGCAGGGGGAAGGAGCAGGGAGGTGAGGTGCATCCCTGGAGGAGCCGCGCTCAGTGCTGCAGAGGATGGGGAGAGCCCAGCACACTGCTGGAGGCTGGGATTGCCCATGGTGTGTCAGGTTTGGGGAGCCACCCCTTCGTCACATCCCATCCCATCCTGTCCCGTCTCATCCCATCCCGTCAATCCCATCCCACCCCATCCTGTTCCATTTCTTCCCATTCCATCCTGTCCCATCCCATAAGTCCCATCCAATCCCATCCGATCCCTTCCCATCCCTTCCTGTCCCATCTTATCCCATCTCAACCCATACAATCTCATCCCATCCCATCCCTTCCAATCCCTTCATATGCAATCTGATCCCATCCCCATCCCATCCTGTCCCATCCATTCCCATCTCATCCCACCCCATCCCATCCCATCCCATCCCATCCCACCCCATCCCATCTCATCCCATCCCATCCCACCCCATCCCATCCCATCCCATCCCATCCCATCCCATCCCATCCCATCCTATCCATTCCCATCTCATCTCTTCTAATCCCATCCCAGCCCATCCCATCCTATCCCGTTTCATCCCATCCCATCCCATCCCATCCTGTCCTATCCATTCCCATCTCATCTCTTCCCATCCCATCCCATCCCATCCCATCCCATCCCATCCCATCCCATCCCATCCCATCCCATCCCATCCCATCCCATCCCATCCCATCCCATCCCATCCCTTCCAATCCCTTCATATGCAATCTGATCCCATCCCATCCCATCCTGTCCCATCCATTCCCATCTCATCTCTTCCAATCCCAGCCCATCCCATCCCATCCCATCCAATCCCATCCTATCCATTCCCATCTCATCTCTTCCAATCCCATCCCATCCATTCCCATCTCATCCCATCCCATCCCATCCCATCTCCATCTGCACTTGGCACCCAGATGGATGAGGTCAGACCCAGGAGAGTTTACTCAGAGGCTGTCCTGAGCTCCCTGGGGCTGTGGATGGGACAGGGCAGGGGCAGCCCCTGAATGGAGGTGGGAGGCAACCAGGAGCATCCCGGTGTTTCCCAGCCCAATGCATGGCTGGCAATCCTGGGCTCGGAGCAATGAGAGACGTTCCTTGGTTGTAATACCCTGTCCTCCTTCTGTGCGTGGAGCAACCTCCCTGCTGCCCCGGGCACAGAGCAGGCACTGCTCCTGCAGCAATGCCATTTGTAAGATCCACCCCCACTACAGCAGGAATTCCATCCAGAGGCCACATCTGGACTTCTACATCCAGGCCAGAGATGTGGGGCAGTGGGAGTGGGGGCAGCTGCAGGAGCTGATGGCTTCGGGCACAGCAGTGATGAGCAGAGCTGTGCTTGGAGGCTTCCCCCACGTGGGCTCTGTGTCCACGGAGGGGCTGTGAGCGACCCAGTGCAGCTGTCACATCCCAGCAGGGCCACCCGACGCCGCTGGAGGTCCCATTTGTCACCCATCTCTCCCCATCCCTCAGTGGGGGATGCAGCAGGACGCAGTCAGCTCCATCCCAGCCCCACAGCTGATGGCATTGAGCATTTCAGAGCCGCTCCCATCACAAACTCCTGCTTCTTGTTGGCCACGCTTTCTGTGCTGAAAGGTTCCAGTTTGGTGTCCAGCATCGGCTGTGTGTGTTCTCAGCCCTCCGTGTGCACAGCTGCTGACGCTGAGACAAAGTTCCCTGGCTGAGCTCAGGGCTCCCAGCACCCAACGCTGCATTGCTCCACCTGTGGGGCAGGTTTGGTTGCCTTTCCAGCAGCAGAAGCTCTGCAGTGAGTGCTGGGAAGTGCTGGGGCAGCAAGGTGAGCAGCCGGGTCTGGCAGAGGTGGAACGGGAATGGGAAGAGCTCATTGATGGCATTTGTGCAGAGAGGGAGTGCTGTGACACTTGGTGACCCTTGGGATGAGCTCAGGTTGGGACTGGAGGATGTATTTGAAGCACTTCAGACAGCGTCTGCATTGCTAAGGGCCGTGTCTTCGTTTTGGAGATCCAGTCCAACCAGTGCAGCTGGGACATGGTAGCGCTGCTACGACCGCTCCTATGCTTCAACCTGAGGAATTTCAGATCCTGGGAGGTGTAAAATGAACCTCTGTAGCTCCTCTTCTCCTCCAAACACACGTGTTCCAGCAGTGCCTCTCGTCCACTGCCCAGCAGCAGGTCTTAGAATGGCAGAATCACCGAGGTTGGAAAGGACCGCAGGGATGCACTGGGTGTCCGAGCGGTGCTGTGCGCCCTGCTGCCCGCTGCCTGCACTCCAACATGCCTTCAGGGGTTAAATAAACACCAGGCAGCTCAGGTGTTCTGCAGTCAATACAACATTGAGCCCTATTTTATTATTTCCCTGGAGGCATTCAAGGCAAGGTCACTACTATCTAGTAGTAGACACAGAGGTTGCTGGCCCTGCATGCAGCAGGGGGTTGGAGATTGGAGATCCTTGAGGTCCCTTCCAACCCAACCCGTTCCATGTTTCTATGATCTTCCATTCTGTGCTTGTGCTTGCAGACAAGTAGCTGGGATCCCAACCATTTACTTTCCATTAACTCGCTGTATTTTTTTCACTGCTGAGCCCGGCTGGGTACAAAAGGAACTTTCCTGCAAGGAGTTTTTTGCAGAGTGTTTGCAGAGCCCCAAAGAGCTGCATCACGAAGGCTGTGCTGCTGCAAAGTCAGATCAGCCTGGGCTCATCATGCTGCCTTTGCTTTCACCGTGATGCTGCCTTGACTTCTGAGATGTGAAGCCCTGAGCTTCTGCAGGGAGCTCAGTGTTAGGAAATTCCACCTCACGACACGGAGAATTTCTGTCGTTTATCACAGAAGCATGGAACGACGGAATGGCCTGGGTTGAAAAGGACCACAACAAAAGCAAGTGTAGAGTCTTGCATCTGGGGAGGAATGATTGCATGCATCAGTACAGGCTGGGGGATGAGCTGCTGGAGAGGAGCTCTGCGGAGAGGGACCTGGGTGTCCTGGTGGACGGCAGGTTGCCATGAGCCAGCAGTGTGCCCTTGTGGCCAAGAGGGCCAACGGCATCCTGGGGTGCATTGCAAGGAGCGTGGCCAGCAGGTGGAGGGAGGCGATCCTCCCCCTCTGCTCTGCCCTGCTGAGGCCTCACCTGGAGCACTGCGTCCAGTTCTGGGCTCCCCAGCACAAAACAGACAGGGAGCTCTTGGGAAGAGTCCAGCGGAGGGCCAAAAGATGGTGAGGGGCCTGGAGCATCTCTGCTATGGGGAAAGGCTGAGTGAACTGGGTCTGTTCAGCATGGAGGAAAGAAGGCTGGGAGGAGACCTGATCCAGGTCTATCAGCATCTGAGGTGTGGGGGGCAGCATGGCGAGGCCGGACTCTGTTCAGTGGGGAGTGGAGACAGGACAAGGGGAAATGGTTGGAAACTGCAGCATAGGAAGTTCTGCACCAATGTGCGAAGGAACGGCTGTGCAGTGAGGTGAGGAGCACTGGAACAGGCTGCCCAGGGAGATGGGGGAGTCTGTGGGTCCCAATGTGTCTCTATGGGTCTCAATGTGTCTCCATGGGTCCCAATGGGTCTCAGTGTGTCTCTATGGGTCCCAACGTGTCTCTATGGGTCCCACTGTTCACTGGAACAGGCTGCCCAGGCAGGTGGTGGAGTCTCCTGCTCCGGAGATGTTCCAGACCTGCCTGGATGCCAACCTGTGTGACCTGCTGTAGGGAACTGCTTTGGCAGGGGGTTGGACTCCATGAGCTCTGGAGCTCCTTTCCAACCCCTACAATTCTGCGATGCTGTGATTCTGTGATCTGGTTCCAATCCCTGCTGTGTGCAGGTCGCCAACCAGCAGCCCAGGCTGCCCAGAGCCACATCCAGCCTGGCCTCCAATGCCTGCAGGGATGGGGCATCCACAGCCTCCTTGGGCAACCTGTGCCAGTGCCTCACCGCCCTCTGGCTGAAAAACTTCTCCTAAAAATCCTGATGGGAACTTTGCTGTAGGCTGAGGATTCCAGAGCTGCTGGCTGTGCTGGGGTTGGGGCTGTGGGACTCCCAGGCTCTGCTCTGGGCATTTCTGTCCTCACCATCCCACTTCTTTCCCACCCCGGCCAGCTTTACCTTCACTCAGAGAGTATTGAAGGTTGGAAAAGAGCTCTGACATCCCCAATCCAACCCCAACCCATCCCACTGCCCACCTCCCCCAGTGCCACATCCCTGTGCTCACTGAACACCCCCAGGGATGGGGGCTCCCCGCTGCCCTGGGCAGCTGTGCAGTGCTGACGGCTCTTTGCAGCACAGGTTGTTCCCAATTCCAAGCTGGAAAAACAGGAAGGGAAGGATTAAGGAAGCCATCCAGCATCCCTCTCTTGTTCCAGGAGGATGCAGGTCAGTCAGAGCGTGGAGGGGGTTGAGCACATCTTGTTCCCAGCGTGTTGGTAGTTTTGCTGCTGCGTGACAAAGTGATGTGGACTCATGGTCTCCTGTTTGTGCAGGCAGGGAGAGTGGGTTTGTTGGCATTGCTGGTTTCAGGACATGGCCGTGCAGCTTTGCTGCTCCCAAATCAGAGCGGTGCCATTCACTGCAGCCCCATCCCCTCTCCTGTCCTGGGACTGCAGAGGGAGAGCTGAGCGCTCCGCTGGTGCTGGTGCCAAAGCACCACAAAGTGCTTTGGGAAGATAATTCCTGCCTTTTCCCTGCCTGTGGAGCAGGCTGTGAGGAGGGCCCATCTGCCTGGGGATGTGTGATGGGATTGCAGGTGGTTAGGAAAGGGATCCGGAGCTCCTCCTGCAGCCCCTCCTGGTGCTGCTCGTCGTACAGCCCTGCTGAGGCTCTCACATCTCACATCTCGCTGTGAACCCAGCACAAAGGCAGCTCTGTCACAGTGCACAGCCCCAGGCAGAGTGCTGGAGAGCCACAGCTGGTCCCAAAGCCCAACAGACCCTCAGTACCGCTGTGGGGCTCAGAGCCTGCCCAGGTGCATCGCTTGTTGATGCAGCTGATGCTGCTCAAAACCTGCAGCAGTCTCATGGCGAAGGAGCCCTTCTCACAGAATCACAGAACAGCCAGGGTTGGAAGGGACCTCAAGGATCACGAATCTCCAACCCCCTGCCACATGCAGGGCCACCAACCTCCACGTTTAATGCTAAACCAGGCTGCCCAGGGCCCCATCCAACCTGGCCTTGTGCACCTCCAAGGATGGGGCATCCACAGCCTTTCTGGGCAGCTGTTCCAGCACCTCACCACTCTCTGGGTAAAGAACTTCCCCCTGATGTCCGACCTTCTCCTTCATCTCCTCACACATCACATCGCCCTGTCTGCTCCTGCCTGCTCTCAGCTGGGCAGAACGCCTTCCCCTGGATGAGCAGCAGTGCAGGGCAGGTCGGGGCTGCGCAGTGTCAGAGCCCTCCTGGTCCAACTGAGGCCGTTCTTGGAGGCCGTTGCTGTGGGACAGGGCAAGCTTTACAGCTGGGGATGTGATTAAACCAGGGGCTCCTTGGGCTGATGCAGGTGTCCATCAGTGAGTGGCTCCTTGCTTCTGAGCACTCTGGACGCCCCGTGCTGGACAGCATCGTAGTGCAGCATCGCACAAGGATGCACGCATGGTCTGGGGGTGGCACTGGGATGCATCTCCTGTGCAGCCACCCCGCAGTCAGCGAGCTCCACTCCTGCATCCTAGATGTTGTCCCCGTTCCGTGCACGGTGCTGGGACGTGGAGGAAGCTTTGGGGACCTTCTGGCAGCAGTGCTGCTCCCAGCACTCCTCGTTTCTGTGGGGCCATCTCAGGGTCTGAGCTGGAGAACGCCGCAGCCGTGCCGCGGTTCCTGCATGAAGCCAAGGCAGGCTGCGCGCGCAGACCGATTCAACAGAGTTTTTCCTGGGCTCCTGGACGCCTCTCGCCACCTCTGTCCGCTCCCAAATGCAGCACCTCGATCTCTGTCTCTGTCTTTTTTGCAGCTGAAACCCCCATCGAGGAGTTCACCCCGACGCCAGCCTTCCCCGCGCTGCAGTACCTGGAATCCGTGGACGTGGAGGGCGTTGCGTGGAGAGCGGGGCTGCGAACGGGAGACTTCCTGATTGAGGTGAGCGTGGTGGGACGGGGCTGATTGGGGTGAGGGTGGTGGGACGGGGCTGACAGCCCCCCCCCTGTGCTCTGCTGCTGCCCCTTAGGAGCTCCGAGCGGGGGGCTGTGAGCGCTACTGAAGTGCTGGTGGAAATGCCTTGGTGGAAAGGTGGAAAATGCCTTCGGTGCAGCACCGTCCAACAGATGCGTGCGCTCTGTGCTTGAGAAGGGCTGAAACTGTGGGGAGGGTGGAACCTGGAGGAAGGACCCCACTGGGTGCCGCCTCTGCAGGATGGTTTTGTGCTGATATTTCTTGCGGCTTCGCCCAGCAATGCAACAGTTGGGGTCTAAAGAGGAAGCAGATCTGGTGGATGCCTGCAGTCTGCCCGTATCGCCCGCTCGGCCCTTCCTTGGCAGTCCTGCAGGGGCTGCTCGGGGCTCTGGGGGCTGTGATGGAGACAGAGGACACCAGAGGGTCCCCAGGTGCCCCCAGCCCCATTTGCTGTGCTGTGTGCAGGGCTGCAGTGCCCTGGAGCTCACTGGGATGGAGCGTGGTGAGGAGCGCTCCTCGTCAGTGGCCGCTTCGTCTCCCGGCGAGCGCAGCAGGGGACGGTTTGAAGGAGCAATTTGAGACAGAGAGAGAACATTAATTTGTTAACGTGTGCGGGGATTTTCGTTGCTACAGGAGGGGAGCGGTGGAGAAATTAGCGTGGTGCTTGAAAATGAAAACGATGTTCAGAATCTGTGCCAAATGGATACGGCAGGAACAGGCCGAGTGGGAGCCGGAGAAGGGGCTGCTGCAGAGCAGTGGGGGAGGGAGGGTTCTCAAATCGCTCCGTCTGCGTCTGCATCCTCACTGCAAATGGACCCAGGGGTCCAGGGGTCGGTGCTGGGCCTGTCCTCTTCAATATCTTTATTGATGACCTGGATGAGGGCATCGAGTGCACCCTCAGTACATTCGCAGATGACACCAAATTGGCTGGAAGTGTGGATCTGCCTGGGGGTAGCGAGGCCCTGCAGAGGGATCTGGACAGGCTGGAGAGCTGGGCTGAAGCCCATGGGATGAGTTTCAACAAGGCCAAATGCCGGGTCCTGCACTTGGGCCACAACAACCCCAGGCGACGCTGCAGGCTTGGGGCGGTGTGGCTGGAGGACGGCGTAGAGGAAATGGACCTGGGGGTATGGATGGATGCTGGGCTGAACATGAGCCCACAGTGTGCCCAGGTGGCCAAGAAGGCCAATGGCAGCCTGGCCTGCATCAGAAATGGCCAGCAGGAGCAGAGAGGTGATTGTTCCCCTGTATTCAGCACTGGTGAGGCTGCACCTCGAGTGCTGTGTCCAGTTTTGGGCCCCTCACTGCAAGATATTGAGGCCCTGGAACGTGTTCAAAGGAGGGCAACAAAGCTGGTGAGGGGTCTGGAACACAGGGCTGATGAGGAGAGGCTGAAGGAGCTGGGAATGTTCAGCCTGGAGAAGAGGAGGCTCAGGGGAGACCTCATTGCTCTCTATGGCTGCCTGAAGGCAGGCTGTAGTGAGCTGGGGGTCGGCTCTGCTCTCGTGTCATCTGTGATAGGAGCAGAGGGAATGGCTTCAAGCTACGGCAGGGCAGATTCAGGCTGGACATGAGGAAGTGTTACTGTTCAGAAAGGGTGGTCAGGTGCTGGAATGGATGCCCAGGGAGGTGGTGGAGTCACCGAGCCTGGGGGCATTCAAGGAAAGACTGGATGTTGTGTTGAGGGACGTGGTTTAGTGGGAGCTATTGGGAATAGGTGAACGGTTGGACCGGATGAGCTTTTAGGTCTTTTCCAACCTTGGTGATTCTATGATTCTATGATTCTATTCTATGACCCCAGAGCCTCTGGGAACGGCTGCAGGGGCGGCTGCAGAGCTGCCTTTGATCCCTGCAGCTCTGTGGATCCGCTGAGCCCCGCAGTGGGGACGGAGCAGGTCAGGGATGGCGCGACACGGAGCAGGGTTTTGCTTTCTGCTGTTTTCCCATGCAAGCATCCTAAGGCTTTACACCAGTAAGGCAGCACGGTCTGTCTGCATCAGTCCAGTGTGGGGATGGGAGATGTGGAAGGGAAAAATCCTTCTCCCAAAGGCCGTGCAGCCCTGGCGCTGCTGCCCAGAGCCGTGGGGGCCCCATCCCTGCAGGTGCACGAGGCCGTGGATGGGCCCTGGGCGGCCTGGGTTGGGGGTCAACAGCCCACAGCAGGAGTGGGGCAGGGGGTCCCTTCAACCCAACCATTCTGGGATTCTGTATTCTGTAGCATCCCTTCCAACCCAACCATCCCGTGCTTCTGTGGTTTTCAAGGATCCTTCCAACCCAACCGTTTGGGGATTGTGTGATCTTTCAGGACCCTTCCAACCCAACCCAACCATTCTGTGGTTCTCTCATCTTTCAGGACCCTTCCAACCCAACCATTCTGTGGTTCTCTCATCTTTCAGGACCCTTCCAACCCAACCCAACCCAACCATTCTGTGGTTCTGTCATCTTTCAGGACCCTTCCAACCCAACCATTCTGTGGTTCTCTCATCTTTCAGGACCCTTCCAACCCAACCCAACCATTCTGTGGTTCTGTCATCTTTCAGGACCCTTCCAACCCAACCATTCTGTGGTTCTCTCATCTTTCAGGACCCTTCCAACCCAACCATTCTGTGGTTCTCTCATCTTTAAGGACCCTTCCAACCCAACCATTCTGTGGTTCTCTCATCTTTCAGGACCCTTCCAACCCAACCATTCTGTGGTTCTCTCATCTTTCAGGACCCTTCCAACCCAACCATTCTGTGGTTCTGTCATCTTTCAGAACCCTTCCAACCCAACCATTCTGTGGTTCTGTCATCTTTCAGGACCCTTCCAACCCAACCATTCTGTGGTTCTGTCATCTTTCAGGACCCTTCCAACCCAACCATTCTGTGGTTCTGTCATCTTTAAGGACCCTTCCAACCCAACCATTCTGTGGTTCTTTCATCTTTCAGGGCCCTTCCAACCCAACCATCCTCTGCTTCTACAACTGTACCAGCTGCAGAGGTGCTCCTGGTGCTGGGGGGGCTTTGCTGAGCCCGGCTGAGGCTCCCATTGAGAAATGCTCTTTTCCATGGATGTTGGGCTGTGGTGGGCAGCGCTGGGCAGCAGGCTGTGCAGCACAGACCTCCCAGCTCACTGGGATCTTTCTAGGAATGCTTCCCCCAGGGATCAGAGACGTGCTGCATTCAGATTGAAGCGGCACAGGCATTTTAAGTGTGGCACTCCATGTCTGTCCCCACTGAGATCCACCTTCAGGCTTTTAGCTGCGAGGCTTTGCGGTACTGCGCTGCACAGACGCGTGAAAGGTGCTTTCATGTCGGAGCTGGCGAATTCAAATACGGAAATGGAGGTGGGAAACGCTGGCAGGAGTTTTGTGGTGCAGCAGCACTTGCTGATGGTGCTCCTTGTGAGCGCTGGGATTGCCTGGGGTGGGGGCAGTTCTGATCGTAGGAACGCAGAATCATTCAGGTTGGAAAAGAGCTCTGAGATCCACAGCCCAACCCCAGCCCACCCCCCCTGACCACATCCCCAAGGGCCACATCCCTACAGCCCGAGGATGGGGATTCCCCTGCTGTCCTGTGCCAGAATTTGCTGCTCTGCTTGCGCTGACGGGGTCATCAGAGCTCCTCTGCCTGTCGTCATTCCTCTGCTCCTTTATGATTATGGCAATTGGTTCTGAATCTGTCACGTCTGCAGCTCTGCCTGCCCTGCAGTTCCCCTTCCTCTCACCCTGCCCAGCAGAGCCCAGCTCCCATCCCTGCAGAGCCCTGAGCCGCACAGCGCTCTGCCCTCAGCCCCGCATGCGTCTGCCAACAGAAATGCAAGCGATGGGAGCCTGTTTGCAGTTTGGCCCTCGTGGCTGATGCTGTGCCTGCTCTCAGATGCTGCAGCAGACGGGAATATCTTCCCCTTGTTCCCATTCCATGTCCCTCCAATGCAGTCCCTCGGCGTTTTTTCCATGAGCTGCCTCTCACTCTTGGCTTGAGTTTTTCATTTCCAGGCTGGATGTGGCTCTGGGCAGCCTGGGCTGCTGGTTGGTGACCCTGCACGCAGCAGGGGGGTGGAACCAGATGAGCACTGTGGGCATTTTGCAACCCAGGCCGTTGTAGATTCTATGATTCTATGGACTCCCCTGAGCTGATGGCACCAAGCACTTCTTCCATCTGTGCTGCAGAGCAGAGGCACAACCCTGGCACTGCACAGCACCTTCCCTGCTGCTTTCCCTGGTGCACTGCAAACAGATGGGGAGACCTCAGCACAGGAGAGACACCAACCTGCTGGGGTGCATCCAGAGGAAGGCCACAAAAAGGGTCTGGGGGGCAGAAAAGGGAAATTTAGACTGGATGTAAGGAGCAGGTCTTCAAGCTGAGGGCGGTGAGGCGCTGCACAGGTTGCACAGAGGTGGTGCTGCCCATTCCTGCAGGCACCCATGCACTGTGGGCATTTTGCAACCCAGGCCGTTCTGTGATCCCATGACTCTCTTTGTAACGCTCCTCTCCCCTTCCCTCCCCTGTCGTGCTGTGGCTGCACTGCTCAGCATCCAGCTGCACAGCCGGGGTGCTTCCAGATGTGCAGATGTGGAACCCCCAGGTGGGATTGCAGCTCAGCATGGTTGTCATCTGCTGATCCAAGAGCTGAAGGGTCCTATTTGGGGGATTCCTAATGCTGAAACACACAAATGCCTGGACCCACTTCAGTGAGTTTGTGTGTTCAGGTGACAGGAAGAGCTGAGATGGATGGCATGGAGCAGAGCTGCCCTGGGGCTGGGGTGCTGCTCTGGGAATGGGGGGCACACAGAGCCTGCAGTGCTCTGCTTGTTTGGGGAGGGCAGATCCAGGGCATGGAGCTCTGAGGGAGTCTGAGGTTGAGGGAGCTGGGCTGTTCAGCATGGAGAAGAGAAGCTGGGGGTGAGCTGAGTGCAGCTGCAGGAGCTGAAGGGAGCCTGCAGACAGGAGGGGAGTCAACTCCTGGCAAGGGGAGATGGCAGCAGGACGAGGGGAAACGGCTGGAAGCTGAGGGAGGGCAGCTGGAGGTTGGATGTCAGGGGGAAGTTGTGTGCTGTGAGAGCGGAGAGGGGCTGGAACAGCTGCCCAGAGAGGCTGTGATGCCCCGTCCATCCCTGGAGGTGTTGGAGGCCAGGTTGGATGGGGCCCTGGGCAGCCTGGGCTGCTGTGAGATGCAAACGTTGGTGGTCCTGCATTGGTGGCGGCTTGGAGCTTCGTGATCCTTGAGGTCCCTTCACCCCAAACCATTCTGTCCTCCTGTGATTCTCTGCCCTTTGCTCAGAGCTGAGATCCCCCCTCCCACAGCACAGCTATCGATGGAAAGAAGCTGGTGAGTGCCCTCCTGCCCAGCATCTCCTCCCGCTGCCCTCCAGCCAACGCGTGCTGAGAGCAGAACGGTTGCAGGCAGCTCCACGACGAAGCTGTGCTCTGAGCTGAGCCTGGCCGGCGCCTTTGTGGCTGCTGCTGCTCACGTTGGCCAGCCCAGCTCCCCCCGGGGCACCCTGCTGTCCTGCACCTCTGCACCCATTTGGGGCTGCTGTGCCAGCAGAGCTGCGGGAGACGTCGGCCCCGTTCAGCACAGCCCCCCGTGGGAGCCCTGTGTGCAGAGAGCTGGGCAGCAGTTGGCTGCTGTGACCTCTTGGGGCTGCCTGGGGGGGGACTGGTTGTATTGGGGCTGTGATGTGTTGCACTTGGTGTCACGCAGGCAGCTCGGGGGGTCACATAGTGAGCTCAGGGTGTGAGATAATGATGCTCAGGGTGTCACGTATTGAGCCCAGGATGTCACATATTGTGCTCAGGGTGTGAGATAATGGGGCTTGGGGTGTCACATATGAGCTCAGGGTGTCACATATTGAGCCCAGCATGTCACACTGTGCTCAGGGTGTCACATATTGAGCTCAGAGTGTCATACAGTGCTCAGGATGTGAGGTAATGGGGCTTGGGGTGACACATAGTGAGCCCAGGGTGTCACATATTGTGCTCAGGGTGTCCCATATTGAGCCCAGCGTGTCACACTGTGCTCAGGGTGTGAGATAATGGGGCTCAGGCTGTCACATATTGAGTCCAGGCTGTCACATATTGAGCTCAGAGTGTCATACTGTGCTCAGGATGTGCGATAATGGGGCTCAGAGTGTCACAGATTGAGCCCAGGGTGTCACATATTGTGCTGAGGGTGTGAGATAATGGTGCTTGGAGTGTCACATATGAGCTCAGGGTGTCACATATTGAGCCCAGCTTGTCACACTGTGCTCAGGGTGTCACATAGTGAACTCAGAGTGTCATACTGTGCTCAGGATGTGAGGTAATGGGGCTCGGGGTGACACATAGTGAACCCAGGGTGTCACATATTGTGCTCAGGGTGTCACTTCTTGAGCCCAGGATGTCACATATTGAGCCTGGAGTGTCCCATATTGAGCCCAGGCTGTCACATATTGAGCTCAGAGTGTCATACAGTGCTCAGGGTGTGAGATAACGGGGCTCAGGGTGTCACTTCTTGAGCCCAGGGTGTCACATATTGAGCTCATGGTGTGAGATAATGGTGCTCTGGGTGTCACATATGAGCCCAGGGTGTCACACTGTGCTCAGGGTGTCACATATTGAGCCGAGTGTCACATATTGAGCTCAGAGTGTCATACTGTGCTCAGGGTATGAGATAATGGTGCTTGGGGTGTCACATATGAGTTCAGGGTGTCACATATTGAGCTCAGGGTGTCACTTATTGAGCCCAGCATGTTACACTGTGCTCAGGATGTCACATGTTGAGCCCAGCTTGTCACACTGTGCTCAGGGTGTCACATATTGAGCTCAGAGTGTCATACTGTGCTCAGGATGTGCGATAATGGGGCTCAAGGTGTCACAGATTGAGCCCAGGCTGTCACATATTGTGCTCAGGGTGTCACATAGTGAGCTCAGAGTGTCATACAGTGCTCAGGGTGTGAGATAATGGTGTTTGGGGTGACACATAGTGAACCCAGGGTGTCAGATATTGTGCTCAGGGTGTCACATAGTGAGCTCAGAGTGTCATACAGTGCTCAGAGTGTGAGGTAACGGGGCTCAGGGTGTCACTTCTTGAGCCCAGGATGTCACATATTGTGCTCATGGTGTGAGATAATGGTGCTTGGGGTGTCACATACGAGGTCAGGGTGTCACATATTGAGCCCAGTGTGTCACACTGTGCTCAGGGTGTCACATATTGAGCTCAGAGTGTCATACTGTGCTCAGGGTGTGAGATAATGGTGTTTGGGGTATAACATATGAGCTCAGGGTGTCACATATTGAGCCCAGCATGTCACACTGTGCTCAGGGTGTCACATAGTGAACTCAGAGTGTCATACTGTGCTCAGGATGTGAGGTAATGGGGCTTGGGGTGACACATAGTGAGCCCAGGGTGTCACATATTGTGCTCAGGGTGTCCCATATTGAGCTCAAGGGTGTCACATATTGTGAGCAGGGTGTCACTTATGGAGCCCAGGGTGTCACATATTGTGCTCTGAGTGTCACATATTGAGCCCAGGGTGTCACATAGTGACCCCTGGATGTCACATATTGAGCTCAGGGTGTCACATATTGAGCCCAGCATGTCACACTGTGCTCAGGGTGTCACATATTGAGCTCAGAGTGTCATCCTGTGCTCAGGGTGTGAGCTAACGGGGCTCAGGGTGTCACGTATTGAGCCCAGGATGTCACACTGTGCTCTGGGTGTCACATATTGAGCCCAGGGTGTGACATATTGTGCTCAGGCTGTCACACACTGCACTCAGGGTGCAGCACGCTGTGCTCACTGTGTCACATACCAGACCTGAGCTGTGCTGGGTGCACTGACCCAACTCTTTCCCCCCTGTTTGGGGATCACAGGGTGAACTTTCCCATCCTGCAGGCGCTGTCACTGCATCCCAGCACTGCAGGCTCCTGGTGCAGCACTGCAGGGAGAAATGCTGAACACGGAGCCACTCCATGGAGCAGCTTGTCTTTGCTCTCAGTGCTGCTGGGGTTTTCACTCTGAGGCCTCTGGCTGTTACCAACAGGGTGGGATAAGCCATCGCCACTGGTCCTTGTGAGCAGAAAGCCCTGACACCATGCCAGCAGTGCCTTTCCAGTGGGAATTCAGGTTGGAATTGGGAACAGCCTGTGCTGCAAAGAGCCGTCAGCACTGCACAGCTGCCCAGGGCAGCGGGGAGCCCCCATCCCTGGGGGTGTTCAGTGAGCACAGGGATGTGGCACTGGGGGACGTGGGCTGGGGTTGGATTGGGGATCTCAGAGCTCTTTTCCAACCTGAATGACTCTGTGGTTAATCTTCAGCAGCAGACATTCCTTCTCCCTGGACTTCATTTGGTGCCCATTGCCAACACGAGCTGTCCTTGCCCAGCCTCAGCTCCAGCTGCACTCTGACCTCCCACTGCTGCTCCCATGGGCTCCAGCAATGCCTGCATTGTTTTGGAGCTTCTCGCTGCTCCTCCTTCCTGCATGTGTGCTCTGTGCATTTCGGTTCATTTCAAAGTTTGAGTCTCCTGCAAAAACACCCCGTCTTCCTACACAACAGGATGGGTCTTTCCTGAGATTTCTTCCCATTTCTGGAGGTCCCTTCCAACCCCTACAATTCTGTGATTCCTTTCAACACCAGCACTGTTTTCCCTCGTGCTGCTCCCCAGGAACCCCTTCCCAGCAGTTCCCCACGTAACCCAGAGCCGTGCCACCCTCAGCCCCAGCTCTGCACCCCACCTCTGGGCTGTTCCAACCACGGCAGCCCTTCTGCCCTCAGCTCCCCCTCACTGCCAGCTTCCCCTGCTCTGATTCTGTTGCCCCTTCCCTGGTGCTCCTCACTCAAAGCCCTTCTCCTCTCCACGCCAGCAGATGTGCTCACAGAGCTCCCTCTCATAGTCAGGGTCTTTCTGGGGGTCCCCCGTTGTGCTCCAGGATGGTGCCCAGGAGGCTCATGGCTGGCAGCATTGGCAGCACAGCCTGGGGCTGCACTCCTTGGAGGGTTTTCATCTCAGCCAGAGGGATTCTTCTGAGCAGATTCAGCTGAGAACACTGCTGGAATTCACTGCGTCTCCATCATCCCCGATCCCAGAGCAGTCGCCCTTGAGCTGCTCCCAGGTTTCTCCTGGAGAAATCACCATCAACCACCCGGATGAGCAAATCAGATGGACAGAGGAGTCCCAAAATCTTCCACAGTGCTGCCAATCCCTGTCCTGAGCACGCAGCAAATGTCCAGGGCAGCTCTGGCTCACGGAGTCCCTGTGCTGCGCCTCCCTCAGGGCCAGCAGCCTTCCCAGTGGCGTTGCCTGGGATGAAGAGCAAAGCCCTGAAATCGACTCCACGCTTTTTGCCAGGACAAAACCTCCCAGCAGAACCCGATTGTGGCTTTTCTTTCCTGAGCTCTGTTTTCCAGGACAAAGCTCTCTCTCCAAGTTTTTATGACCCTCAGAAATCCCAGACCGTGGAGATAAGAGAAAGGGGAAAGGAGGGCTGGGGAAGGGAAAGAGAGGAAGATTGTGCTAGAGATCATAGAATCATAGAATATTAGAATCCTAGAATGGCCTGGGTTGCAAAGGCCCACGGTGAGCATCAGCTCCAAGCCCCTGCTGTGTGCAGGTCGCCAACCAGCAGCCCAGGCTGCCCAGAGCCACATCCAGCCTGGCCTCCAATGCCTGCAGGGCTGGGGCATCCACAGCCTCCTTGGGCAACCTGTGCCAGTGCCTCACTGGAGATGGTCCAGGTGAAATCAGTGCAAATCCTTGGGCCCCAGCAGGACAAACCACGAGCGCTGAGGGGGCTGCAGAGGTGACCGCTGAGCTGCTGTCATCTCACAGAGCTCCTGGAGAATGGGAGAGGTGCCTGCAGACTGGTGGAGAGCCGGTGTCAGCCCCGTGTCCGAAAACAGCAGTAAGGATCCGTGCACCTCCAGGCCTGTTCAGCCTCAGCTCCATCCCGAGAGGTGGAGCAGTTCATCCTCAGTGCCATCACCCAGCCTTTGGTGATAAGAAGGTGATCAGGAGCAATCAGAGCGGGTTCACCAGGGGGAAGTCAGGCTGCACCAACCTGCGATGCCGCCGCTGGCTGGGGGCAGCAGTGGATGTGGTGCCGTGACTTCAGCACGGCGCTGGATGCCATCAGCGTAGGGGTGGATGAGAGGGCAGTGAGCTGGGCTGAGAGCTGATGGTGGGCAGAGCTCAGAGGGCTGCGATAACAGCGTGGAGTCCGGGGGGGGGCTGCAGTGAGCAGCACTTCCCAGGGGTGTGTGCTGGGTCTGGTATCATTCACCACCTCCATCCGTGACCTGGATGAAGGGCTGAGCGCAGCCACAGGGAGTTTGGGGGTGGCACGAAGCTGGGAGGGGTGGCTGACGCCCCATGGGGCTGCGCTGCCATCCAGCGAGAGCAGGGCAGCCTGAGAATGGAGCAGGGAGGAACCTGATGGGATCCTGAGCCTGGGGAGGAGCAGCCACAGCATCACAGCATCACCAAGGTTGGAAAAGACCTACAAGATCATCCAGCCCAACCTGTCACCAGTAGCTCTCACTAAAGCACGTCCCTCGACACAACATTTCCTTGAGCACCTCCAGGCTCGGTGACTCCACCACCTCCCCAGCAGCCCATTGCACTGCCTGACCACTCTTTCAGAGAAGATCAGTGCGAGCTGGGGCTGGGCTGACCAAAAGGAGCTCTGCAGAGAGGGACCTGGGGGGTCAGCAGGCTGACAGTGAGCCAGCAGTGTGCCGTGGTGGCCAGGGAGGCCAATGGGTGCCTTACAAAGGAGGAGACCCCCCCAGCTCTCTGGGCAGCAGTGCTGTGACTCTGCCACCCTCACAGCATGAAGTTCTCCCTCATGGGCAGACAGAATTCCCTGGGCTGCACTCTGTGCCCGCTGCCCCTCATCCTGCCACTGGGTGCCATGAAACAGAGCCCAGCCTCCTCCTCTTCACCCTCACCCACCAGACATCCATCAGCTCTGCTCAGATCCCCTCTCAGCCTTCTCTCCTCCGGCTGCACAGCCCTGCTGCTCTCAGCCTGCCCCCAGCAGCAGGTGCTCCAGGCCTTTAGGAACCTTTGGGGGCTCTGTGTAGGAGATCCCTGCCCCTCTGAACTGATCACGGGCAGCCAGGAATGCCAATCTCTCAATTCACTTTGCACCCAGCACCTGGGTTTCCTTCTGCATCCCATCCGTGCACAAGGAGTTTACCTGGTGTAGGGAACCTGCTTTGCCAGGGGGCTTGGACTCGATGATCTCTGGAGGTCCCTTCCAACCCCTACAGTTCTGTGATACCCAGGAGCCCCAGGCTCTCAGATCCAGATTTGCATCCCTTTGGTTTGCTGTTGTTTCCACCTCGCACCAGAGCTCTTCGTCTGTTCGTGAGGTTGGGGTCCAGACAGCAGCGAGCAGCACCTTCCTGTGTGCTCTGCCTCCCCAGGCATCGCGCTGCTGACATCCCCTGTCTGCTGTGTCAGTGTGGGGACCCCCCCAGTGCACACAGTCACCACCAGTTCCCAGCCTTTGCTCGGGGAAGGGACAACCCATGGTGTGCTGCAGGGACGGGATCTCAGGATGAACTTCTGGACAGGAAGGGCTGTGAAGCACCGGGAGAGGCTGCGCAGGGAGGTGGTTGAGTCCCCATCCCTGGATGTGTTTCAAAAGCATCTGGATGCGGTGCTCAAGGACACGATTCAGCAGAGGGCTGTTGGAGTTGGGCTGGGATGGTTGGGTTGGGGTTGGACTCGATGATCTTTAAGGTCTTTTCCAACCTGAGCAATTCTATCATTCCGTGATTCTATGGGATGGGTGCTGGCCCGCTGACCTCTGGGTTGATGGCAAACTATCAGAAATGTTTTCACAGAATCATGGCATCACAGAGCGGTGTGGATCAGAAGGGACTTTCATACAATCAGAGTGGTTTGGGTTGGAAGGGCCTCCAAAGGCCGTCTGGTTCCCACTCCCTGCAATAAGCAGGGACCCCCTCAGCTCCATCAGTGCTCACAGCTCCATCCCCTGCCCGTGGGTGCCTGCAGGGATGGGCAGCAGCACCTCTCTGTGCAAGCTGTGCAGCGCCTCACCGCCCTCAGCATGAAGACCTGCTCCTTACACCCAGCCTCAGTCTCCCTCTGTCAGTTAGCAACCACCTCCCCTCGTCCTGTCACACAGACCCCACTAAAGAGTCCATTCCCTCTTTTCCACAGCCCCTTCAGATACAGAAGGCTGTTGTGAGCTCTCCCTACAGCCTTCCTTTCTCCACCTGCACAGCCCCAGCTCTCACCCTATCCTCGCAGGAGAGCTGTTCCATCCCTAAGACCCTCTTGGTGGCCCTCCTCTGCACACAATGCAATGCCTCCATGTCCCTCCTGTGCTGAGCGCTCCCCATCTGGGCGCAGTGCTCCAGGCGAGGTGTCCCAGCACAGAGCAGAGCTGCAGATCCCCTCCTGCTGGCTGCGCTGCTCTGGATGCCCCCAGGGTGCAGTTGGCTCTCTGTGCTTTGAGGGCACAGCGCTGCTTCGTGCTGCTGCCCCCCACCAGCACCCCCAGGGCCTTTTCAGCAGGGCTGGCCTCCATCCTTCCACCCTCCCCAGCTTATACTGAAGCTATGAGACCTCACACTTGGCTCTGTTGAGCCCCATGAGGTTCTCCTGTCAGCCACCAGAGGAACAGCGTCGGTGGGACGTTCTGAGCTCCCGCATGAACTGAATTTGACACCGTGACAAAAGAACTCAGGGCTCCATCCCAACTTGCAGCTGTGGGAGGAGCTCTGCTGGCCGGGCTGCGTGTTGTGCAATGCTCAGAGCATGGAGAGCAACCCGAGGGTGGGAGAGCACCTCTCCTCCTTTGGGGAATATCAATTTTACATAACGAAGAGAATCCCTGGGTTGTTTGAGGACGCGCTGCTAAATGCAGCCCGAAAGTCAGGGGAAGAAAATGGCTGGGCAAGATTTCACCCCACTGCATTGCGTTAATGGAGGAGCTGTTAAATTCCCCTCCACGTAAAGGTTAGCAAGGAGGGGAGAAGGAGAGGCAGATAATTCGAGCTGAGGTGTGTAGGAGGTTGGGAAGGGAAGCCAAAGGAAATATCAGAGGCCGATGCGTAGAGACAAGAAGGCATTTTAGTGCAGTAGAAGCAAAAAAATAAATAAATCTGGTAGAGATGCATTTCTATACGTAAATGATAAAATCGTATATTCTGGTGCAAAAAGCAGGAAAAAAAAAAAGGCAGAAATGTTCTGTTCTGAGTTTGGAACAAAT